GTTCCTGACCTTGATTGACAGTGTGAAGCTAACAATAAGGAGGCAAGGCAAAAAGCGAGGGAGTTAACAGTGCCCTGCAGATATCTGTATATGTATGGTGTCAGGTTGTGTGTGTGCGCGTCGTTGTTGAGCATCTAGACTCAGCTCATTTGGGAGCCCTTTGGCCCACTGGGGCGGCTGAGAATAGCAGCAACTAGTGTGAAATATTAAGGTTTGATTTGAGTCTCACAGAGCCCTTACGAGGCACTTTTCGCCTCTGTGGTGTGAATCCAGCTCCTAAACCTCCCTCCCCTACCCTGCAACCTGACAACCTCTTCAGCCGTCACACCTGCTCTGGAGGGAGAACCTCTGCTGATAATTAGCCCATGCGCCTGATGATGAATCTGTCCAGCAGGCCCGCCGACCCTGTTCTGATCAGAGGGGTCCTCATTACTGACGGCTTGGCTTCGTCGCTTCCTTCCGCCGAGTTTAATTAGTGCATAAACTTCTCTGCCGTCTGAAGCGGCCCGTTATCTCCGGCTTTAAAGTCCGGCATCAGAGCTGTCCTCTCTGGGTAATTGGGAGCAGATGCTTGGCGGGCAAAGCAACAAAAATACCCCAAAGGCGTTTGGCAGCTCTGTCGCCTGGCTTCACTGGGAGGCAGGCAGGGCCCACGATGCTCCTCAGAGCGACATTCATGTTAGAACTTATCACACCACTCCACCCCTCCCAGTGATCCAAAAAGGGAAGCTATTTCTCTGTCTTAAGTAGCTAAAGTGTGTTCGACTCTGAACGGAAATGAGATTGGTCTGGGAGCATTGGCTTTAAGGTGGATGTAATGAAAGGAGGTCCAGACTTAGGCTAAACTTAGCAGAAATCCAATCAGTAAACAACACCAAGCGCAAAACAAAGATCCAAGCTCGGAGGCAGGCTGAGCGAGCAATGTGTCGATGATTGCATTTGGTAGTTATCTCCGGTCTTTGTTAACCTCGGGGCGCTGCTCCTCATGGCTGAGGGAGTTTGGCTAATTGAGAGGAATGCCAGCCCTTAGAATGCGAGGCAGATGGCGGTTTATGCACCTACAAATACAGGAGACGGAGGAGACGCCTGTTCTCAGAGCCCCATGATCGGCGAGGGAGGAGGCTGATCGGATGGTGGAAGCTTTATTACAGCAGCAATAGGGGGGGGGCAGTGGTAAATGAATGTACGACTCTAGCCGCTCTGACCCCAGCCTCCCTCCTTAAGGATGCATCCAGCCACCTTCTCGCAGTGCTTATTCTCCCCATTTCTCTCTCTCCCTCTCTCATTATAAAAAACATCTCTTTTAAACTGTGAGCTGAAACAGGTCGCCATGGCAACAGCATCATAGAGATGCTTATTTTAGTGCAGCGTGTAACTTTGATATAAGGCGTAATCATGCCCGGCTGGACGCAACTAAATAATACCTCGGTTATAACTCTCTACTTTATCTGAGTGCTTTCACCGGTCACCATTAGGCTCCGTTACCATGGCGATGTTTTCCCAGGAGATCTCGCTGAGAACGATGCTGCGACACCAATTCACCACTTCCCCTGTAACATCAAATAAAACAACTCTATCTGAAGCTATAAAATCTTCCTTTTTTTTTTTTTTTTTACTTTGACTAGGCCACTCTATGACATGTAGCCCTTTCTGTATGTTTAAGGTTATTCTAAATGTAAAGTCTCACCTATTTTGCATGAATTTTCACTTGTACCCCACAGCATGACCACGTTTCACAGGATGCTGTATCCAGGGTGGATATGCAGGGTTAAGATATTGTCCTCACATGGCGTTTCGTATTTAGGCCAAACAACTTTAATTTTAGCATCATCAAACCAGAGCACGATCTCCCAAATGTTTACTGTGTCCCCTTTATGGCCTGTGGCTAACTGTAAATGGTCTTCATGACACTGTTTTTTTCATTAACAGACCTCTAACTCTGTCGCAACAGCTGATTTATACTGTGATTATATCACAAACAGGTGGACTCTGCTCGTTAACTAGAAAGTAGTTTGTTGGAATGGATTTTATCTAAATGTAAGAAGGTTGGCACAAAGGTATGCTTGACTTTCTAGATCTGCATTTGCAGACAAATGTAAACAATGTATGCTTTCACTAAAGTTCACGACTATAAAGAGCTGTTGGTGTATCTCTAAAGTGGCAATAAGGTTTGCAATTCTGGAGTGAAAAAAAAATTTAAACTTTAATGCTTTGTTTGAACTTGCATTGCATCAGAATAAGACCTTTAAGAGTAATTTATAAACAAATAACTTTAAAAGAAAATGATATATAGATAGATTCTCTGTTTAAGTCAGTGAGGCAGACACCCTGTCTACTTTTAAGGCTAGGCTTAAAACTTTCCTTATGTTAGAGGGGCTCAGGTTATACTGAGCTATCTCTATAGTTATGCTGCTATAGGCTTAGACTGCTGGAGGACATAGGGATCTCCATTCCATCATTCTGCTTGGTTCTATTGCTATTCGCCCACTTTTTTAGAATTTGTTAGTTCAATCTCTAACGTTCTGCTCTCTCTGTACTTTTTCTCATAGTAGCTTCATCTGGTCTGTTCCTGTTTGGCTGTGACTCCATCCTGGAGAGAAATATTAGCTGTGCAGCTGCCATCAACACCTTTGTTTATAGATGTTAGAGATCGGCCTGTTTTTCAGTGTAGTCCTGTTTCTCTGGATGTGCTCTGTTTCATTATCTGACATGGGAGGTGGATCGGAGCTCGTCTGCCTGGCTGTGTGTTTCCTGGACGGGGCCGCCTTTTACAGCTGCTTTTTGTGTCTCTGCTTCCGTCTCCTTAAACCCCAGTCGGCCTCGGCAGATGGCCGCTCACACTGAGCCTGGTTCTGCTGGAGGTTTCCTGTTAAAAGGGAGTTTTTCCTCTCCACTGTGGCTACGAGCATGCTTAGTGTGAGGGATTGCCTTTGAGTCAATGACACGATGCAATATACTGATTTTCCTTAGATAGAAAACTTTGAATCAATTGGACTGGATGATCTGGTAAAATTGTTAAGTGCCTTGAGGCAACATGTGTTGCGAATTGGCGCTATAGAAAAAAATTGAATTAAATTATTATTCCGGCTGTAATGGGATCTACTCTTTCGATAAAGAGGGCTGACAATTGAAACTAGACAGGAAATCAGCCTAAATAAATAGCTTTATAGGGGCATAGCACAAGTTACAGAGTTTTGAGGACGTTGCCCCCTGTGGTAACAAGTTGAAATGACACCAATATTGAGCTCATGAATGGGAGGAGAGATTAAGTTAATTTTCTGTTGTTGCAAATACACAGGTCTTTTGCTTTTAATGCTATTTTGGGTGAGAAAGTTATAAATACTGACGTTAAATACATTTATAGCAAACAGGGGGTAATTCCCAGGCCAAATCTGAGCTTCCTTCCCTGATATCCAATCTCATTTTCCATATTCCATCGTTACAAAAATTCAATTTGGCCCTTATTGTCACACTAGACAAGTTTTATTTCATTTTTATGTGTGGAGTCTGTGATGGGGTTTGAGGTGTGCTTGTGGCTGGTCATTATGATCCGTCTTTACAAACCAACGCCCCCGTTTTCCCTTTGCAGCCCCAGCAACTCACTCAAATACCACCTAATGGAGCCTTTAGAGCAGGGGTCTGCAGCACGTTGCTCTTTGGACAACCAACAATGGCTCTTCATCGCTTTGGCTGAAAAATGAGCCAGCTGATCTTTGGAAAATTATATTTTTTTCATCGAGTCTAAATACTCTAAACACAACAGATTTTCTTTCTTTTTTTAGAAGAAAAAAATCTTCTGAAAATTTCATCATCAAAAAAAAATCTCTTTTTATAAATGTTTTTCCTTAATTTAAAAAAACCTAACATTTGAAATGGCACAATGATTATTTATAAAAAAGGACACATTGGTAGATCTTTTTTTCTCTCTTTAAAGAAGGTCATGTAATATTTGTGGCTCTAAACGAGTTTTATCAGTTGGACCTGAAGATAAAAATGTCTCTTTGGATTGGAAAGGTTGCAGCCTCGGGCTATAAAGGCATGTTCAGTAAACAGAGAAAAGCTTATTTTACACTTTGTTTTGTAAGGTCATGAATGAGAAAGGAAAACATCCTTTTTTACTTGTACAATGCACCTTTAAGACAAACTACAACACTGACTTTTTATCTTGCAGGGTTTCAAAGCCCAGCTTTGAAACCCTGCAAGATAAAACAAAAAAAAAATAGTTAAGCATCTCAAACATTTTTCAGATTATTTCTTGCAGCTAGAGCTGCAGCTAGTGACTATGTTGCTAATTGATTAATCCGTTGATTCTTTTTTCGATTTAATCGATTGATAATCGGACGAGCAAAGGCTTCGTAAAGAAGATTTTACATAGAATTTAAACCAAATGAAGCTAAAATTATTCCCTTTGAGGACTTTAAGATAGAGCATATTGAAGGACAACAAAGTTATTTTACATTTAATGCATAATGTTATATATTTTGCATTATAATGCTGCTTTGAGTAGGTTGCTCTTTCGGGTAACGGTATGTTTTATAGTCTCTATATTCAAGTTAACGATGAATCGATTACTAAATCAGTTATAGATTATTTTAATAATCGATTAATCATTATTAATCTAATTGATTGTTTCAGCCCTACTTGCAGCTTTAGGTTGTAACGTAATATTTCTGCACATTGAAGAACGTTTCCTCTTTATATATTTAAAAAATAATCAGGATTGTCCATCTAGCAGCAGGACTATCACCAGCTGAAGAGAGAGTGATTAAAAGGGTGTTTTGTTTTATTTTGCCACCATTGAAGAGCTTGCACAGCAATGGCAGCAGTGGGTAAAAATAAAGACTTTTGGGCAATAAAGTCAGCCACTAGTTTAAAAGTATTTTGTCTGATAGTTTTGGGATCAAGAGAAAAAAAAACAGAAACGTTGAATTCATCAACTAATTACTGGACTGTGAGATGAGACGGCGTGTAAATAAAGACACTATCTGGTCTCCCATTACCTTGGCAATAGCTGTTTGTTTGTACATCTGTGTCACCAGGCTCATGACCTCTGTGAAGGGGTTTTCTGTAGCGGCGACCCCTGACCCCAGTCCCTTCATCAGCCTCTCCCACTCCGCGAAACTGGCCGAGGCCTCCTGTATGCAAGGAGAACACAAAGACAGTGAGGATGTGTCCTTTAATCCTTCATCCACCCTTTTCTTCTCTCCTGTTATTGAGATATAAAGGGCAAAACAATTAATAGTGCTGCTGGGTGTCCTACTTTTTTTTTCTGGAAGAGATAGAAAGAAGAAAAAAAAGCCGAGAGATGGAGAATTCCCAGGGATGCCTCCCCCTCCGACTGGGCTGCTGTGCTAGGTGGGTCATGAGCGCCTCCCAATTATAGCTGCCTTGTGACAAGCCGAGGTCGAAGATGGAGAAGCGGCCCAGCCGGTACTATAAATCAAAGCCGCCTCACGCGCTCTCAAGGTGATTGGCGAGAAGTATTTAAGGCGGGAGTGGAGCTCGCAGTGGGGAAAGGCTGCCTGTGAAGAGCAGCATATGTTTCTGACCGATCATAAACAAGAGACGCCGAGGGAGTCCGAGTTTGTTTTACCCAAACGCAGCTCAATCATAAACCGGTGGAAAGCCTTCACGGGCGATTCCCTGAAACAACAACAATCTCTAGAACTTTCACGCTTCCCTGCTTACCTTAAAAAACACACTCTTCAATGCATTTCATCTGGAAGTCATTCTATGAACCAAAGTATCGTTATATAAGGAACATGCAGGGAAAACTTCATTAAATCATCTTAGTCGATTACAAAACTGCAAATATTACAGAATATCTACATCAGACTTTCTTTTTTTCTCATTCAGGACTGTCCTACAGTATCCTTCCCAATTCAAATCAGCACTGCTGCAGAAAAGCCTCCTCATAGCATTTTACCTGCTGGCCATAGAATTAGACTGATCACACACTTTTTTATGTTTTTGCTCCTTCACATTGCTTCCAACAAGCTTCTTTAACTCACTGAAAGGAGACTTTCTTCCTGCAAACCTTCCATTAAAGGTCTGATTTGTGAAGCTCATCATTATTGGCTGAAATCCTCCTAGAGAGCCTTTGCATCCCGTCCAGTTACAGAAATGTCTGGGTTACATTGCTGTAGCTGCAACCCGTTTTTATACATTAATGTCAGCAGATTCTTAAACCTGATCTAAGGCTCTCTGAAGCTGCTAATCCATGATCTCCTTACCAGGACGTGGCACTTTAGGCAGATGGTCATGGTGGCAGGGAGGCTGTTGGACTGGATTTCCTTCAAAGGGTATCAGAGGAAAAATCTCACCGCTGTTCAGGTTTTAATATGTAAAGAAACTATCAATCATTTCCCTGCATTCCTTTGGTCGATATGTTTTGGATCTATGATGATTTACAAATCCACTTCCCTAGAAAATAATAAAAAAAGGCATTTTTTTTCTTCATCTAAATATTGCATGCCAGATTAAACTGAAGTAATAATCTTTGGACCAATAGAGGAGAGATCTAAAGTTGCTTCAGTCGCTTCAGCTAGTAACCACTGATCAGGCCCC